CATACATTTACAATTTATATCCTAAGTTTACATATTTTTGTAAAGCTGCTTTGTGACAATGTCCATTGGTAAAAGCGCTATGCAAATAAAATTGAATTGAATTGGAATTTAATTTGGCACCAAAGTCTCTACTATGCTACTCTAACTCCAATTTCACAAGACGGCAACTTCCATTTAAACCCAAAAAAGGCTTACAATCACAAAATCGAAGGAAATGGCACCATGTTGTCCACTCATATATACAGTCACTGGTTGTAATAGATTATATGGCCAAAGGTATGCGGACACCTGAGCAGTACATCCGCATGAGTTTCTTCTCCCAAGTGTTTGCCACAAAGGTGGAAGCACACAATTGCCTAAAATGTGTTTGTATGCTGTGGCATTACAATTTCCCTTCACTGGAACTGCTGGTGTCAGATGGGCTGGTTTGAGTATTTCAGATACTCAGTCTCTAGAGTTTACACAGAATGGTGCGACAAACAAAAAACATCCTGTGTGCTGAGAGTCTGAAACGTCCTGTTGATATGAGATATCAGAAGAAAATCGCCAGATTGGTTCGAGCTGCCAGGAAGGACATACTGTAGTAACTCACATAATCATTCTTTACCACTGTGGTGAGCAGAAAAGCTTCTCAGCCTGCACAAAACTTCGCACTTTGAGGTGGATGGGCTACAACAGCAGAAGACCACATTGGGTTCCACTCCTATCAGCCAGAACAGGAATCTGAGGCTATCAAGGGCAGAAGCTCACTCAAATTGGCCAGTTGAAGATTAGAAAAAATATCACCTGGTCTTTTTCCAGTCTTCAACTGTCCAGTTTGGGTGAGACTGTGCCCATGATAGCCTCAGATTTTGTAGCAGGTCAGTGCTTCCTCACCATATGATACCACCCAAGAATAAAGGTCTACATTGTAGCTTTAGGAACTCCAGCTCTGGGTAACATTGCCTGCTTATGATGTCCTTGCTTCTACCCCATTTGTTTATGTAAACAAATGTAATGTAAATGTAAACACAGCCTTCTCTACCTTCTCTCCTTGCTTTGCCTACTTTGCCTAACTGGGATGAGAGTTGTGGATGGGTGAGTGCAGTATCTCTGTGAAGATTGTGTATTGTTTTTTCTGAAGTATACTTAAGGTATTTTCTAGGAGCTCAAGCAACTTTATTAAGCTGGTGTCTCTCATCTGGCTTTGCTGAAACATACAACTGTGTGTCATCAGCGTAACAGTGGAAGCTAATACCATGTTTATGAATAATTTTGCACAGTGGTAGCATATATAAAGAAAAGGGCAGTGGGCCTAAAACAGAACCTTGCGAAACACCAAACTTTACCTTAGTGTGAGAAGAGAAGTCACTATTTACGTCTACAAACTGATAACGATCAGTCAAATAAGACCTGAGCCAGGAAAGGGCTGTTCCCTTAATGCCTACTACATTTTCTAGTCTATTGAGGAGAATCGCATGATCAACGGTATCTAAAGCTGCACTAAGGTCATGCAGCACCAGCAAGGAGACACAACCCTGATCAGAGGCCAGCAGTAAGTCATTTACCACTTTAACCAGCGCTGTCTCTGTGACAATGTCCATTGTTAAAAGAGCTGTACATATAAAATTGAATTGAATTGAATCGAATTGGTGATCACCTGCAAACTTCAGGGCCTTCTTCCTCGTGTGACAGCCTTTCAGGTCATGGCGATGTAGGACACTCTGAATGGTGGATGTATATGCTTTGGCACCTGATGACTCCAACTCCTTCTCCAGTTCCTTTGTTTTTGTCTTGACATTCAGTTGAACCTTCGCTCAGTCATTCCTGGGAGTTAATTTGTCCTTCTTCTTTAAAAAAATGCTGTCTCTATGGTTCCAAGAGGTCTTGTCTGAGTTGCTTGAATTTTCCTACGGTATCAAATTTAAAAATGCACTGTCTCTAAAGGTAGTCCCTTTTACACCCACAAGTGTACTCTGAAGTAACACCTAATTATGACAGTTGGCCAATCAGAAGTTTCAAAATGTCATTACATCAATTTCTGGAATCTTGATGTTAAGAGACAGTCAACTTGATGTATCAAAATAATTTGACCCACTGGATATTTGATATAGTGAAGTATAGCTGAAATAAATCTGTCTCTAATAGATTGTTTTAAAATAACCTCTGCTAACAAACGTAGATATCCTCACTGACGTGGCTGAACAATGATATGGTAACATGAAGTGTGTGGAGAAAAATTTAGTTTCAATGTCTTTAGCCTAAGTATATGTAAACCTTTCGCCTCAATTGTACATCTGCAGTGTGAATGAGTTTCTCTTGTGTGTCTTTTGTGAAACTGGGAGCTGAATACTTTACTGTCTCCCTAAAAAAGAACAAAAAACTGTCTTAAAGGGAGCAGTTTTATTTAGTATATGGATACGAGCAAGAAATCATGGGTTATAATATAATACAAAAAATACACTAACCAAATATACAACATTGCAAATGTAAACATAGTGGTAAACAACAGACATCATCAAAAAGCAGCTTTACATAAATCCAGATATAAAATTAAAAGAGTTTGAATAAGTCAGTGTTACAGATTTATTTTTCAATTGTTTAGACATGTTTCAATAATATAGACTTGGACTTACAAACCTGTGAACACAAGCCTCAATGTGCTAAACCTTTTTGCTGATTTGGACAAAAATATATGAAACAACAAACAAAGATATGTATAAAAAATTAATTATGATGGGAATTCTTACACTCACCACCAGGGGTCCCCATCTCCTGACTATTAACTGGTTGCCATAGTAACTCATTATACTCAACTGTGTCACATGATACAATGATAACCATGCTAGTCAAGCCCTGTTTTTTTAGTCTCCTACAATACTCTGTCAAGTATTGTAGTTTCAAGAGTTATAAAAAAAAATCAAAATCTGCTACGTTAAAGGGTTCGTCAGCATAATTTCTGCACACAACCAGCTGTCGCTGTATCCCTTGTTTTCAGTGCTCCAAAGTTTTAGCTCAGTTTCCAGCACAATCAGGAAGAAGCCTCAAAAGCATCATGAATGAATTAAATCCCCCCTTGCCAGCCTCAGTAGTATGTTACACTCCTACATTTCAAAATAAGATGCTACCTTAAAAATAAAATGTTATATAAAAGATATAAATAGATAATTTAGTATAAAAATTTTCACCCTGCTACTTGAACACCATGAATCAAAAACCTTCACTCCTCTACACCTGTATACTGTAATGATTTATAATCACACTATCCAGTGTCACCCAGATGAAGATGGTTCCTCTCGTGGTTTCTTCCTCATGTCATCTCAGGGAGTTTATCTTAACCACTTGTTTATTAGAGAACTAAATCTACATCCAGGTTTCTGTAAAGCTGCTTTGTGACAATGTCTGTTGTTAAAAACTGAAATAAAGTGACGAACCCTTGCATGGTACAAATCTAGACGTTGTTTTAAGAGTGCATCTCTGGAAACTACAATTAGCATGCTTATCATGTGACACAGGTGAGTATAATGAGTAACTATGGCAACCAGTTAGTATTCAGAAGATGGGGACCCCTGGTGGTGAGTGTCAAATTTCCTATTATAATTCATTTTTTAATCAACATCTTTATGTTTCTGTTTCATGTATTTTCAAAATGGTTTAGCAAATTGAGGCCCAGGATCTCTTATTCTAAATTAAACTGCTCCCTTTTAAACATTCTTCCACTTTTTTTAGGGTGACAGATAAGAATTCAGCTCCCAGTTTCAGACAGGCCCACCCACACACACCGCTGTTCCAGCCAGATCGTGTGAGGTGTACCGTATGTAGCAGTAGCTGTTGAGCATGGACCTACATTATACCCTTTATAAGGACCAAAAGCTATGGGATACAGAATAACCTAAAAGCACGACGAAACTGAGTAAGTCGCTGAGCGGCGTGACCAGTGAT